GAATGGGGGGGATAAGGACACATATGTAATACCTTAATCAATAAAGAAATTTAAAAAAAAGAATCTGAGGATTGCTCATTAGGTTGAGGAGCAGATCAAAGTAAAGGTCTTGCAGGTAACTGGCTGATGGAATGGAGATCGAGGTCTGCAAGTCCAGGAGGGAAATAGGAACTAAGAGAACTGGAGCTAAGTTGCCTTAGGATGCAGAACATACTGACGTAGAGGAATGTATTGTAGGCTTATGTATTGAAGGAGAAGGGAGAGATGTCTGCTACATGAGAGCTATACTGCTGTCAAGTGGGGAGGGGACTTAGAATGAGGTTATATGTTTCAAATGGTTAGATTGTTAGAGAAGGTCCTCGCTTATTGTCAAGAAGTAGCATTGGGAATCCAGAGGAATAGCCTTGCTGTACCCCTCTACCTCCCCCTTTAACCTTTCCCTTCTGGGCAATTTAGGCCAGGTTGCGGCACTGCAGATAAAATACATAGATGAGCATATTTTTCTAAGCCTCTTTCCCTAACGACAAAGATTTTCTTCTTGACCAAACTATTCTGTCTCTGCTGAACTGTTTTGCAACTATGCCTGACCTTTGCACTTCGGTGTTCCTCTCAGCATTGCCCAATTTTAGCAAGAATCCTGATAAGTCAGTTTAACTAGAATCTCTCATCTTCCATATCTGATCATTCTCATCATCTAATTGGGTTTCTCATCTGCCATCATTCCCCAGGTGATATCTGATTATCCTGACCTGCCTTTAGCAAGAATCCTGTTAAGTTGGTTTGGCCAAAGTCACCTCTGGTTTCCTCTTAGTAATGACCCCCACCATGCTCCTTGGCTATCCATTCCCATTTGACTGTGCTGGATTTGAAGTTGAGTACAAGCTCTCCTCTGCTACAAGACCCCACTGCAGTTTCCCTACACCCATTGCCATGATCTCCCTTGAATAGTCTGCACTACTGTCTTTAACAAGTGAGATAAATAATGTTTTCTTTAACAATTTGAATAATATTTATTCCCTAACATTGATTGGGAATTAATAATAAGTAAATAATAATAATAATCCTATATATAAAAGGCTAATATACAAATTGACCTGACGGCAGAACGACCTGTCGCGATGATGCACACTGACCACCAGGGGGCAGACATCGACGCAGGAGCTGCCCCCTGGTGATCAGTGCACTCCCACAGGGGGAGTGCTGCTCAGACAGAAGCCGGGCTCATGGCTGGCAAACACAGCGGTGGTGGCGGAAGCGTTTTGCAACTATGCCTGACCTTTGCACTTCGGTGTTCCTCTCAGCATTGCCCAATTTTAGCAAGAATCCTGATAAGTCAGTTTAACTAGAATCTCTCATCTTCCATATCTGATCATTCTCATCATCTAATTGGGTTTCTCATCTGCCATCATTCCCCAGGTGATATCTGATTATCCTGACCTGCCTTTAGCAAGAATCTGTTAAGTTGGTTTGGCCAAAGTCACCTCTGGTTTCCTCTTAGTAATGACCCCCACCATGCTCCTTGGCTATCCATTCCCATTTGACTGTGCTGGATTTGAAGTTGAGTACAAGCTCTCCTCTGCTACAAGACCCCACTGCAGTTTCCCTACACCCATTGCCATGATCTCCCTTGAATAGTCTGCACTACTGTCTTTAACAAGTGAGATAAATAATGTTTTCTTTAACAATTTGAATAATATTTATTCCCTAACATTGATTGGGAATTAATAATAAGTAAATAATAATAATAATCCTATATATAAAAGGCTAATATACAAATCGACCTGACGGCAGAACGACCTGTCACGATGATGCACACTGACCACCAGGGGGCAGACATAGATGCAGGAGCTGCCCCCTGGTGATCAGTGCACTCCCACAGGGGGAGTGCTGCTCAGACAGAAGCCGGGCTCATGGCTGGCAAACACAGCGGTGGTGGCGGAAGCCTCTCCCGCCTCCACGGTAGCACTAAGGACCCCTCGACAGACACCCCCAAAGGGTCCTGGACTGTGAGAGGGTGCACCAGGCCTCTAGTTATAGATAATTTAGGTATTACAGATTATTGAAGTTGTAATGTACTAGATGTCTGATACCATTCAAAATAATATACAAATATTAACTTATTTAATCCTCATTAAAACTTAATCAACTTAGTGTTAAGGCAGCACTGAACATTATGATTTGGTGTGAAAGACAGAGTGCACTGGACAATTAAGGAGACTATTTTATTTAAACAATTGCAATGGAGAGGAATCCTCAAAGGAAAGGGAGGGCCTGGGATTTTATAGAGGCAGATAAATAATGGAGTCATCTGTCATAGGGAGTTAGGAGGAAGGATGGAAGCATCTTGGAATGTGAGGGGCCAGGGTTGTGCTTTCTGGATAGCTATTTCCTGGAGTACAAAATGCTACAAGGATTTCTTAACCAGTCTGCTCAAAGACAGAGCTCAGATAAAAGAATAAGAGAAGTACAGTGGGGCCTTGACTTACGAGTTTAATTCGTTCCGTGACGGAGCTCGTAACTCAAATTACTCGTATGTCAAATAATTAAAGTGAACAAGTGAGACACATGATGCTGGACTGATGTTGTGGCATTCACTGTGATGTTCGCTGCGCCAACTAGCGGTGGGGTATCTGAAGCTGGCTCGTGACCCGAATTTTAGCTCGCAACTCAAAGCAAAAAATCGGCCGAGAGATGGCTCGTATCTCGAAAAACTCGTTAGTCGGGACACTCGTAAGTCAAGGCCCCACTGTATATAAATGTAGCAATTAATGACAACTTTTTACTAAACTCTATGCCCATAATTCAAACTCTTTAACATGAATTAAAGGAAAAACCGATTATTCTATGTTATCCTAAAATAATCTACTGTTAAATTTAAGGAGAATGGAAAAGTAGGGTCATCCTCAGTGCTACATTTTAAGAGAAGCCAATATGTGATAGATATGTATAAAATGATTAAAGTTTTTAACAAGCTTCCCAATAGGCCAGGTACAAAATGTCACCAGGGCAGAATAAGCATATCTACCAACAGCTAAGTGGCAATGGGCAGATCTTGGAGAGCAAATACTTGGAGATAAGTATTGTTAATTAGGACCTCGCCCCGAGACACCTTTCCTGCCCTAGATCGTCTCTCTGGTCATTTGGGTGAGAGCCTCCCCATGACATGTAGCTTGTCAGGCAGTAGGATTCCCGCCCCCACCTCCCCACCGCCACCTACACACACACACACACACACACACACACACACACACACACGCACACGCACACACCTGGTGATCCCCTGGTGAGACCAAGCAATCAGTGGAGACCTAGATCTTGAAACGACACACCTGGAAAGCTGCTGAATATTCTATTGAGATCTTCCCTTGGGATCTCCCCTAAAATCTCCATTCTTAAAACCCTTAGGTCAGGGGACCCAGTGGCCGGAGCCATCCCCCTAGCGAGGTATCTGTCACCTTTACCCTCCCCCCCCAACACACACACACATACTATACCCCTAGAGAAGAACAAGGGGGCTGGCAGAAAGCCCCATCTGATTTCCATACAAGGGCAGGAGACATGGGACAGGCCCTGATTGGTCAGCTTGAAGAAGAAAGCAGTTCACTCCTTCCAAGGGGTTAAAAGGAGCTCTGGTGCTGACCAATCAGTGGAGATCACAGCCCTGAAAGAACACACCTGGAAAACTGATGGATATTTTATTGGGATCCTCCCCAGAGACCTCCAGCTAAACACCCTGAAGACAGTGCAGCTCTCTCTATGGCAGTGGTTCTCAACCTTGGCTGCACATTAGAATCACCTGGGAATCTTTTTAAAATCCTGATTTCTGGGCCTTGTCCTCCGGAAATTCTGTTTCTTTGTTAGGTGAGGCCACAACATTAGTAACAAAGAAACAGAATTTCCGGAGGACGAGGCCCAGAAATCAGGATTTTAAAAAGATTCCCAGGTGATTCTAATGTGCAACCAAGGTTGAGAACCACTGCTCTATGGAGTACTCTGCACCTTTCCCCACCCCGCCACCCAGGCGCTATTGCCTTACCTCTCTCTTTCTCCTAAACAAGTTGCCTCTGTAACTTGTTTCCTGAGCCCATTTCTTCTACAGCTTACTTCTACCTCTGTGACTTTCTAAATAAACTTTCTCCTATAGCTTGAATCTTGACTCTGAATTCATTCCTAGCCAGACCTCAAGTACCAAGGTTGATGAACCAAGGTCCATCTGACTCCATCTGTCTAACACCTGGTGCTGTTTTCACCACCAACACAGCCATGCATTTAGCTTTTTCTTTACAGATATAAGGTATTAGTAACTCTTCCACCTTGGAAACTGAGAGGCTGAGAAACATATGTGGTAATTGGGTTAGAATGATGTTTTAGACAGGTTTCTCAGGCTGCAGTGTGGGATTTAAGAAATACAAGACTGGCTCAGGCAGACAAGTTCGAAGAGAGTTATTGAGATTTTCTAGGCAGGAGATAATATCTGAACTAGAAAGCTGTAGAAATGTGAAGCTGTGGTAGGCAGTTAGACAAATATAAGCAGAGCAAGGCTAGGCACCGAAGGTCACAGGGTAGAAAGCCCCAGATGCCTAAAAAAGACTGTAGGGTGGGACCTCCCCCCCAGGGTGACCTTTCCTCCCCTAGCATATGCTGGTCATGTTGTTTGAACCCCTGACCTTTTCTCCATAGAGTTAACATATTGCCTCAGTTGTATTTCAGCTCCCGGCCCAGAAAAGCAACAAAACCAGAACAGTGACCCCACAGCTGACCTCAGGACCAGCTGCGTTGGATAATGATCCCCTGGAGAAACCAAGCAATCAGTGGAGATTTAGACCTTGAAAGGACACATCAGGAAAGCAGCTGAATATTCTATTGAGATCTCCCCCTGAGACCTCCCCTAAAGTCTCCACCCTTAAAACCCTTCAGACAAGGGACCCAGTGGCAGGAGCACGCCTAGCCTTTCTCTTCCCCGTCCCCAGGCCCCCAGGCACAGCACCTGTCACCTTCCTCACTTCTAAACTTCAAGGGACCTTCTTTTACCTCTATACTTGTTTCCTAAACCCATTTCTTCCACAAATTACTTATTATTCCGCTGTGATTTTCCAAATAAATGTTCTCTTATTCTTTGAGTCTTGGCTCTGCATTCTTTCCTAGCCAGAACTCAAATGCAGAGGTTACTGAACCCAAATCCCGTCTGACCCCAAAAGTCTAACACCTGGTGCCATTTTCACCACCCACAGCAAAGCCAAAACAAGAAACATTTCTCTGTACCCTTACTGGAACTGGGTATTATTTTCTAAATCTGCTCATTTGATATTAGAACAATGTTATCTCGTTGTTTGGATTTCAATGTCTTTTATTACTAATAAAGATAAAAATTAGCATTTATTAATTATTTTGTATAACTACTGTTCAGTTTTTAAATTTTATTTTTTTCTTCCATAAAATGCTTTAAACTTTAAATGTATGAGAGATTCAAACTACCTAGAATTAACCAACAATGGTAATAGGGACATTTGAACATACAAAAACAAATAGCACCAATTGAAAGTCAAAGCAATTCTATTTTACCTTAATGAAATGCATTCACTTTGTTCTGACCTTCAGCTTTGATATACACAAAGTTGTTCGGGGGACAGAAATAACTGACTCAGCATAGACCAAAAGATTTGTGTTGTAAAAGAGTCCAAAAGGCTAATTCTAAATAAGTTCATCCAGAATTCAATCAGTTCCACGGTTCAGAAAAATAATGATTTTTACCTGTACATTCTTTCATTATTCTTGTAAAAAATTCTTTTCAATTACGGTTTACACTCAATATCTATATATATAAAAAGCCAGGGACCGGAATGCTGTAACAACGGGAACAACCAGTCACTATGACACCCACTGTGGCCAGCAAACTGGCCAGATTGGGGGAGGAGCCAGCCGGCCAACTTTCTGCAACCTCCCTCCCCACCTGGCCCCACCCCATTTCAACACTGAATTTGTGCACTGGGACTCTAGTTATTTCATATTAGTTTTAGGTGTACAGCATAGTTGTTAGCCAATAATATATTTTACAAAATGGTCCCCCAATATTTCAAGTACCCATCTGGCATTGTACATAGTTATTACAATATTATTGACTATACTAGAGGCCCAATGCACAAAATTTGTGCAAGAGTAGGCCTTCCTTCCCCTGGCTGCTGGCACCCGCTTCCCTCTGGCACCCGGGACCCTGGCCTGCCTCGCAGCCCTGGCTTTGTCTGGAAGGACAGAAGGATGTCTGATCTAATTAGCATATTATGCTTTTATTATTATAGATTCCCTAAACTGTATTTTGTATCCTCAGGACTATTTTGTGACTACCAATTGGTAGTTCTTAATCCCTTTTTCACCCAGCCTCCCACCTCACCCTCCCTTTCCTCTGACAACCATCAGTCTGTTCTCTGTAAGACACTATAAACAGAGTTAAAAGGCAATCCACAGAATGGGAGAAATATTTGCAAACCATATATCTGATAAGGGATTAATATCCAGAACATACAGAGAAATTCTAAAACTAAACAATAAAAAGCCAAACAACCTAATTAAAAAATGGGCAAGGACTCAAATAAACATTTCTCCAAGAAAAATGCACAGTGCTTGCCTCAGCAACTCATGCACTAAAATTGAAATGATACAAAGAAGACTAGCATGGCCTTGTGCAAGAATGACACACAAATTCATGAAGCGTTCCATACAGGAAAAAACAAAAAAGGGAAATACATAACACCAATAAACATATGAAAAGATCCTCAGCATTACTAATAATTAGAGATATAAATAAAAACTACAATGAGATCTATCTCATACCCATTTTGAAGGGTTAGGATATGGAGAATTTGAAACCTTCCGTATTGTTGGTGGGAATCAATAATACAGCCACTGTGGACAACATTATGGTGGTTCCTCAAAAAATTACAATTAGAATTACAATATGATTTAAGGTACATACTGCCTACAATGGAAAGCAGAGTCTCAAAGAGATATTTGTATACCTATGTTTATAGCAGCATTATTCACAGTAACTAAAACATGGAAGCAACCTGTGTCTATCAACTGATGAATAGATAAGCAAAATCCTATATAATAAAAGGCCAGACCATAAGCATAATGACTGAAACAACCGCTCAACCAGTCGCCATGAGGTGCATTGACCACCTCTTGTCCCCGCCACTCTCCCATCCCGCAGGCTCTGATCGCAGCATGGCTAACAGGGAGCCATGGCGAACAGGGGGTGGTGGTGGGGAGGGACTGGGGACTGGACTCGTGGGGCAGCGGCAGCATCGCCGAGTGTCCCAGAGTGGCGTCAGTGTCATGGAGCGTTCTGGGGCAGGGGCGAACAGCATCACAGAGTGTCCTGGGGCGGCAGCAGCATCGCTGAGTGTCCCGAGGTGGTGGCGAGCAGTGTCGTGGAGCATTCCGGGGCGGCGAGCAGTGTTGCGGAGTGTCATGGGACCTGATGGCAGGCTAGGCCTAGGGACTCTACATGTGCATGATTTCATGCGCTGGGCCTCTAAGTCTTATTATAATTCCCTGACAACAAAGAACTTGATAACATGGTTGGGAAAACAAAACAGATAGAAATGAAAAAAAATTATAGAACATTAACAAATTCTTCCATATGCCTGGCAATCTCCCTGCCTCAAGACTTATATGTCATTGATCAATTAGAAGTCATCTCTCTTTTCTCTTAATTCCCATGTCTTTCTGTCTATAGGTTGAATTGTAATAATTTCTGGGCATATATTTTCTATATTGATTTTCCCAATGAGAATAGTTCTGCCAGCAGGAAAAACATATTCATCCCTGTGTTTGGGTGGGTTTGCCTATATGAATCTCCTTTTACTCTACTTCTGTAGCCAATTAATGTCCCCCTTTTTAGGGATATATTCTTTCATTAGCTATATTAATGTATTTAATAAAGTATAGTAAAAAATTACAGACTTGGCAGGAATTCTGTCTTTCTGGTGACTGCCAATAAATCAATTATAAGTAAGTACATAGTTTAACTCTTTAAGGACAATCTTATTTACCCAACAACCCAATTCTCATGAGATCACTCACTGTAACACTCTGTACTGACAATTGTAGGTAAGTAAATTAGTATTTTCTTATCACTGCGTTTGGTGTTGGTGGCATTTCCAGGACATCAATAGCTATTCTGATTGTGTGAGATGGTGTTTTAGGAAATCCCTTAAGCATTACTACTCCTTGTAAGTTCTCCACTTGAGCTTAGGTATCCTGCTATTGTATTATTTCCATGTGCCCACATTTGCGTTATTTCCATTGTGATAAACATCTGCATTCATCTTTATTTTCTTGCTCTCCTGTCTCAGAAGATAAAATGTCCCTCCCACTGCCCAACCCACAACAATCTGGCTTCTGCCTATCCTCTACTTCCTTCACCCCATGAATGAAATTATCTTTACTGAAATAAAATAATGCACTATAATTATGATATTCAGTGAATTCTTTTTAATTTTACTGAATCTCTCATCTATTTCTGATTGTTGCACAGGCACTTTTCAAAACTCTATCCTCTGTGACCTTGACATTATTTATTCTGATTCTAATCACATATGCCTAACCAATTTTGTTATTTTTCCTTCACAGGCTCCTCCTCTTTTGCCTATAAATCTTTAATTTTGGTTGTTTCTGAGTGTCTTCCTGTCTACAGGTCCTGCTTTTCTCTTTGTCCCTCATGTTGGATAAACATTAAAGTGGTTTTAATTACTTCTTGTATGCTGATCTTTAAATCTCTATATCAACCATTATCTCTCCTGAATTCATACTTACATAACTAACTAGATACTAATTCTCACGTATTGGCGATGTTTTGGCATAAACTGTGAAAATAATCATTTTATTGCCCAAACTTTAAATTTCTCAACCGTATGTATTAGTATTAGGCAGATTTTTTCATGTTAGAGATAGCGTCCACATAATCTTATTCTTTTGAATTTTTTTCTATTTCATTAGCTATGTGGATTAAAAAGGGAAGAAAATTAGATACTTTTTAAATGTGTGAGAAATTAAATAAATATACAACTGTAGGTAGATATGTTATCTCAAGTTTCTCATTTCCATGTCCAATATTCTTTTATGTATCTTTAGATATAACTATACTACAGATGCTCCTCATTTTAAGATTGAGGCTATGTCCTAATAAACCCATCAGAAGTTGAA